CTCTTTTCCCGTCAAGATCTTAAACCAACCTCAAACTGTAACTATACATGTTACCAAACTTCACTATTTCTAATAACAAAAATAAAACAATAACCAAAAACCATTACGAATTTGACGAAAATTCGGACTAAACAAACGAAACCAACTGCCCTTGACAGCGGCTCCACCGATAGTGACGAAATTAAAAATTTGTTCGCTTAACTTGAAAATCAACGAACTGCTGAAATAGCAAAACCAACGAACGACGTAGATATCCTTTGAAACGCATTTACATGAAAAGAAATCGCCGCAGTAAAATAAACAACAATTAAATGGATTTATTACTCTACGACGTTAGAATGATTGAAAAACACTTTTCGAAAGATACGAACTAAAAAACAGAAAACATTCTTCGTTTTATTAAGACGATTTCATATACGAGGCGACTTTAAATATACTTCAAAGAATCAATCAAATTTAAAATGCTACAAACTGAAGGCGCAAAATATAGAAGAATATCCTTATTAGAGGTAATATATAAAGTACTCGTCATACTATTAAAAACACGATTAGAAATATATAATATAGAGAAGAATCTATAAGAATACATGGGGGTATTTCGGAAAGGAGGATCAACAACCGATCAAATTTTTATGCTAAAACAAATCCTAATCAATTACTATAAATACAACATTTCAGCACAAGTACTTTTCGTTGATTACAAAGGTGCCTACGATACAATAGACAGAAACAAGTTAATAGAAATACTAAGAGAATTCCAAGTGTCAGAAAAAATATTAAGATTCTTTTTGGTATCAATATCAATATCAATGGTACAGTTTGAGAAGAATTCGAAGTGAAAAAATGTGTTCGCCAAGGAGACCCATTGTCTACATTGCTATTCAATATAGCTCTAGAAAAAATTGTACGGGTTAGTGGGATAAATAGGACCGGAACTATTTTATACAAAGAGCACCAATGCTTAGCATACGCTAATGATGTGGTTCTTATTGCAAGAAATGGAAAAGAACTATCAAATATAGCAAAAAGACTTATTCACGAAAGCTCTAAAATAGGACTGAAAGTTAATATTAATAAATCTCGCGGAGATCTCGAGCAAAAAATGAATAAATACCAGCGGATCCTTTAAATTGGAGGTGGGGATGGATAGATGAACATATGTACTTAGGTACTCTTATTAATCAGACATGTAAGGAAGAAACTGAAATCAATCTGAGACTGACCAAGAGCAACAGGTGTGCTGGGGCCACGAGCAAAATAATTAAGGCCAAAAATATATCTCGTAATACAAAAATAAGAGTATACAAATTTATAATTAGATCCACAATGCTATACGCTGCCGAGACATGGACTATGAACAAAACCATACAGATCACATTGGAAGCATGGGAAAGAAAGATACTTCGCAGAATATTTGGTGTAAAAGTAGTAGAGGGAGAGTGGAGAAAGTGTACCAAAAGTGTTAAAAAAATGTAGACTTAAATGGCTCGGTCATCTAGAAAGAATGCAAAGTCCAAGTAGTCAAGAATATTGCTTGGAGAGTACCTAAGGGCAAAAAAAAGAGAGGAAGACCAAGAAAAAAATGGAGAGATGTAGTGATGGAAGATGTCAGAGAAATAGAAAACGATGGAAATTATCCAATCCAGCAATGGACCTAAAACGCCTGTTAACCCTGTACATACTTACAGTTATAGCATGTCACACTGGCTCTATTTGTAGTTTCTTTTCATTTTTCTAATATAAGAGCCCTTTATTTATTTCATTAATACACTTTCTTTTTATCTCCATCTTTTTTAGCTTTTTTAAGTTATATCGATTTTTCCTCTTTGAATTTATTTTTCTCATTTCTTTATCTTTTTGCAATGTACAACAGTCACTTTCGGTTCCTCTCATACTTCTTATATTTCTTATAAATTTCCTATGGTCTCTTTTCACCAATACGTGATCAATCTGCTTAACCGTCCATCCTTTCGAAGACATCCAGTTTCCCAGGTTATGCATAGCTTCTGTTCCCACTTTTGCATTGCAATCACCGATAATTATTTTTCTATCATGTTTTGGTAGATGCTTATATTGATCCGTTAGTTTCTCGAAGAATAGAAACTTTTGTTTCATCCTAACTCTATACCCTCAACTTCCGTTATTTTATTTTCCATTTGTTTAATTTCTTGTTAAAGCCATAAACACACAGCTATTTTGTATTTATTTATCTCATTGGTTAGCTCTTTAAACACTCACTCATAAAAGGACCCTCTACTGTTCCAGGTCGCTAGTATCATCTCGTTTGTGCATTTTCTCTTTTTAAGTTCTTTTATGCATAAAACACCTAAAAAATAATAAATCTCCAGGAAGTAATGGTATATCCGCGGAACTTATTAAATGTGGAGGTACTGCTCTGACTACTCATATATATATTATATATATATTATATATATATATATATATATATATATATTTATATATAATATATATATATAATATATAATATATATATATATATATAGTATATATATATATATATATATACTCATACTGAGAGACTGGAATGAGGAATAAATCCGAAAGGGTGGTGGATTGGGATCGTTTGCCCGCTACATAAAAAGGGTAATTAATTGGAATGTAGAAACTATAGGGAATATCCCTCCTTAATACAGCATACAAAATATTTTCAAGTATTTTATAAAGTCGCCTGAGTGCATATGCGGAGGAGCTAGTTACCCGCACAACACGCAAGCTAGAAGAAATGTACACTACCTTGTCAAATGCCTCAAAAACATATGCCTACAATAAATGAGAAAAAAACTAAGATAATGGCATCAAGACCCTACAGAGAGAGCCAGAAACATCGGCCACAAATTCACGGTTGATAACAACTCTACATTTGAAGTGGACAAATTCACATACTTAGGCTCCCTGATCACCAAGGAGAATGTCATGACGGAAGAAATCAAGCAAAGAATAATCCTAGCAAATAAATGTTCTTTTTGAAGTAAGTAGATATATAAGAAGCATAAACTTAAGCCAAAAAACAAGAATAACCATATACAAAACCCTTATAGAACCAGTGTTGATATATGGATCGGAGACATGGACCATTTCCAAGGGAGATGAAAACTTTCTACTTATATTTGAACGAAGGACCCTGGCGTAGTATCTCTTATAATAATAGGAAGATTAAGATGGGCAGGACACCTGACAAGATCACAGCAGAACAACCCTCCTAGAAAAATCCTTATACCACAACCTGTGGGCAGTAGAAGTAGGGGTAGGCCAAAACTCAGATAGAGGGATGGTGTAGATGAGGATGTTAGAAAAATAGGCGCAGCAAACTGGCAACAGTTGGCAATGGATAGAATTTCTTCTTAAAGTGCCTATCCGTTCCGGATGTTGGCGATCATTACGGCTATCTTTACTTTGTTTACTGCAGCGCGGAACAGTTCAGTGGTAGTCGTGTTATACCCCTTTCGTAAATTTTGAAGCCAGGAAGTGCGTTTTCTTCCCGGTTCTCTCTTACCATTTACCTTCCCTTGAAGAATCAGCTGGAGAAGGCCGTAACGTTCTTGATTTCTCATTACATGCCCTATATATTCCAACTTTTTAGTTTTGACGGTCATAAGAATTTCCACGTTCTTTCCCCATTCTACGCAGTCCTCCACATTAGTAACTCTGTCAACCAGGATATACGTAAGATGCGCCTATAACACCACATTTCGAAAGCTTCGAGCCGATTTATAGATGCAGCAGTCAGTGTCCACGTTCAATAGACGGCATTTTGTTTTTAATGATATGTCTCGACTGTTGAAAATGGTTCTTACTCTAAGGAATGCTGCTTTTGCTTTTATTATTCGCTGTTTAATTTCTGTTGAGTGGTCCCATTGGCTATTTAAATTGGTGCCTAGATATGTACATTGCTCGACTCTTTCTATATTCTGTTGGTTGATTGTAATTTGAGCGTTTAGTATTAGTTTTTTACTAATTGTCATAAATTTGGTTTTCTTTATGTTAAGAGCTAGTCCGTAGTTGTTGCTGACTTCTGTTATGCGATTTTTTATTATCGGTAAGTCATTAAGATTATCGGCAAAAACTATAGTGTCCTCTGCATATCTAATGTTATTCAACCATTCACCGTTTATTAGTATTCCTTTCGCACAAAAGCCGTGCTTTTTCCGTCTAAAGCTTCCTTAAATAACCATTCAGAAATAAATATTGAACAACAATGGAGACAAAATACAGCCCTGTCGTACTCCACATTCTATTGCAATTGTATCAGTTAACTGGTCTTCCATTTTGATTTGGCCGTTTGATTGTAGTAAATGTTTCTGATAATTCTAAGATCTTTTTTGTCAATTCTAATTTCTTGCATTAGAGTAATTATATTTGTCATGTTTGACTCTGTCAAATGCTTTCTGGTAATCTATAAAGCATACGTATATGTCACAATACACATCCCTGCATCTTTGAAATAGCACCTGTACAGCAAAAAGGGCCTCCCGTGTTCCCAGAGCATTAAGAAAGTAGATAGAACTGACTGGCGTAATAGACTTGGGAAGGTGGAGGCCCTTTTATAGGGCTGTAGCACCAATGATGATGATAGTGATGATAAGCTCCTTTATCAGCTCTCTTTTTTCCTCCTTTCTATTATTTTTCCTGTTTATACTTTCCAACTCATTATAATCAGTATTCATTTCTTTGGTCCTTGCTTGGGTCGTTACCTACATATATCTTTATTCAGTGTAATTCATATTTTTTATTATAATATATTTTTAAATATTTTTTTTACTGACCATAGACTATCAGATCTTTTAAAAAATATTCAGGATCTAGACTTCCGTCCATTCGAAAACAAATTTTAATTAGCAGGTTTTATCAAAGATAAAGTTTTAATATCGATGTCGATTTTAAAAATAACCTGGTGAAGTTTCTAATCTCCCCGTCGATAACTTACCGATATTATATAAGTAAATTTTGCCCAATTTATTCTCATAGTCTCAAAGTGCAAGATGAAAATGAAAATACTTGTAAGTAGCTCTTTTTGCATTTTTGCAAAATTTTTCGTTAAAAGCGTTTTAAACAATAATTGCCATTGTGTTTTTTTATTTATTTTGTAATTTTTGTTTATATTCCTATATGTAGCTACTATGTTTAAAAAATATTTAGAGAATTTTTGGAATACTAACCTCATTATTGGCTTCATTGAATATTCTTCAATGTATGTTTTTACAAATACATAGGTTTATATATATATATATATATATATATATATATATATTATATATATATACATGACTAATAAGTTTCCACTGAACTTATCCTCTTCTGAACAGGGAAACTTTTAGCTCTGTTTAGAGTACCTTGCCATAAGAGTTTACATTTTTGCTGTTTATAGCAATTTTTTTGTTTTCTCTGTTTCTGGTTGTGCTTCCGTTGCATAGGTAATTATTGATGTAATGATTGTTTTGTAAATAGTTTTTTTAGTTCTTTTTATTTGATAAGATGACTTGTCATCTTAAATTTTGTAGCGGGTATATTAAATTGGTGAAGCATATATTGTATAATAGGCACATATGGGCTTAAAACATTTTCCTATGCCATTTTCCTATCAGTCTATCCTATCCTATCCACTCGTGACCTAGGTTTTCTGTCCAATCCATTCTATTGTTTTATGGTATATAGGTTTAAAACGTTATCCTATGCCACCCAATCGCCATTATTCTTGATTTATCCATAAGTTTTTCTTTATTTCTCAATCTCTTATTTTCTTATTTATGCCTTCTTTCCAACGACGGTTCTTTTTATCCTTCTTCTATCTATCTATAGTGGCTGTATTAGGATTTGGTTTGGAATTAAATCTTCGGACATTTTTAAACATGCCCTTCATAATTTCTCTTATTCTACTATTTTTAACTCTCTCAATCTTGATTTTTCTGACAAACAACTCCATAATTCCATTACCATTGCCTCAATTTTTTGCTTTTATTATTCCGTTATTTGCCATACTTCACTCCTATAGGTGATTATACTTTTAATAATTGTGTTATATATCCTACGTTTGTTGCTCTTTGTTATTGATTGGTTCAAAAGTATATTATTTTATCTTTTGCTTGATTCTTAGCAATTCTGCTTATTAATTTGTGAATTAGTATCTCTATGGAAGGTTGTCACCCTTTACACGGTCGTCCAATACTTTTTTTGCTGATTGGTGATTTATCTCATGCTATTTTGAGCACACGGATCTCCTCTATTCTGCTTATGTGGTTTTTCTATCCTTTTTTCTATTTAATATCCATTCGTTTATACATTTTAAGTTACATTTTTTCTGTTCTTATGTCTCTATCAATCTCTTAGCGTATTTTGTGTAATTCGTTTCAGTACTATCATCTCTGCAGTTTTCAGTATACTTTTTGTTGTTGCTGTATCTGGTCTTGTTTCTGAGGCATATGTCATCATTGGTCTTACACTCGCTTTATAAATTCTTGACTTCATCTCAGTGTTAATTTGTCTGTTTCGCCATATAGTGTTATTAAGGCATTCTGCCAGTCTATTTACTTTTTGTACTTCACTCCTCACTTCTTTGTCTAGTCAAGGTATTTTATTTCCATTACTTGTTCAATACTGATGCCTCCAATTTCTATTTTACATCTGATTGGTCTTTTACTAAAGTAACAGAGTATTTTTACTTCTTTCTTTCTTATTTTGTATACTCTTTCTTTATTGACATTTTTAGTAATATCATCAATGATTAAATTTAAAGAGCATAGGGCTGATTGAGCGCTCCTCTCTTATTTTGCTGCCTATTTCTATAGGTTGTGTAAGTTGTTCATTTATCTTGACTTCCATTTTGTTGCTTGGTAGTTGTTTTCAATAGTTTTTATGATATCTAGGAGAACTGCTGTATTATAGAGAAGATGGATTATATATTTAAGTCTTGCTCTGTCAAACACTTTCTTCAAGTCAATTAAACTTAGAAATACTGGTATATTATACCCTAGTGATTTGTCAGTAATTTGCTTTATGGCAAATATTGCATCTGTACACGACTTTTCAGTACAAAAAGCCTGTTGTTCAGGTAAAAAATTATTCATTATTCTTGTAAAATTAAAGTTTTAAGGTAAAATTTATACTTCTTTCGTATTCCGGCTGTTTTATCTCCTTTTTTTGAATAGTAGAATAAGTTCGCTCGTTCTCGTTTATTGTTTTTATTACTGTTGTTAATTAATGTTGTTAATTGTTCTATCATTGCTGCTCTACAATATTTCAATAATTCATTTGATATTCCATCTTTACCTGCTGCTTTTTTGTTCTTCAGCTTTCAAGTATTCTATGATCTTCCTTTATATTTATATTTGTAGTAATTTGTGGGATTTCCGGTTCTAGCGTCATTTGTTCTTCTTATGAATAGAGCTTTTTTAGGTAATTTATTCATGTATCCTTTTCCATGTGTTTTGTTTCTATTAGTTCCTTCACCTTCATTCTTTGACCTTTTATAAAGCGGCATATTTTCTTTTACAGACCATAAAAATCATGTCTTATTTCTTTCGAAAAAGGTTCCCAGTGATAATTTTTTATTCTTTTTACAAATGCATGTGTTTTGATTTTATTATTATGTTATTATGGCATGTCTCTTCCATTTTGATTGACATGTATTTTAGGTAAGTTTTTTCTTTTATTAAAATTTTTTCTCTACTTTTTTTGATGCCATTCATATTTCGTCTCTGAAGTCGGATTTGTCCTCATTTAAAAGTCTTTAAGTCTCATTTATCAGGTGTAATTGGTGCTATTAAATATCTTTTTCCTTCCTGTCGTAGTGATTTTATTACTCTCAAACTTTCTGTGCTTTTACGTCCTCCCAGATGAGAATTTATTATGTTACACTTTTGCTGCCAGCTTCACTTTTCTTATGACATATCATTCTGCTCACTTTGACATGTATTTTCTTGTGTATCAGTTTATTGAGGATTGATTTATAGAGGTGTCTCATTCCACCAATAAAATACAGGAATCTTCTCTGGTTCTGAATTTGGGCGTCAAAATTCTTTTATTGCTACCCTCTAGGTATATTTTTTTATATAGTGATAATGCTATTTGCTATTATTCAATTGTTTAATTTTCAACTTTTGATTCAGTCCTATTTTTTTATTAATTCTCTCACGCTCTTTGTTCTAGGCTCTTTGGGTTGTATTTCTTTCCTGGTTATATAAATATAGTCTCAAGATTCCTAAGAGGAACATAGGGCTTCCACAAAGTGTTTCCAGTGAACTCTATTTCTGGCTAGTGCTTTGATTCAAGCCAGGATTTTCCCATTTTTCTCCCTTCGTCCAGTACAGTCCTTCTCCAAGTTCCCTTAGGTCTGCCTACTTTCCGTCGGCCTTGGGATTCCAATCCAGCGCTGTCCTGGCAATGTCATTTGGCGGTCTACGGAGTGTGTGGCCCAGCCATCTCCATTTTCTTCGCCTTATTTGCTTTATGACATTTTCTTGGTTGCTTTGGTTCCATAAATTTTCATTGGAGATTCGGTTAGGCCAAAATATACGAAGGATTTTTCGTATCGCTCTTTCTTTCCTGGTAAATTGTACATTTTATATTCTTTTCATTTTTGTCAAATATGTCTTGGTTTTTATCAAGTAATGATCACTGACATAATTAACTCCTCTGTATACTTATATAACATACATTGTAAATCATCTTTACTTTAAGAGATTTATATTGCATCGTCTGCATAGTAAACTCTTTTAAGTTGGTTCTTCTATTTGGGATTCTGCTTTCATTCTGTTACTTTATTTATCATCAGCTTTAACAATACAAGGCTCAGAGAATCTTCTGTTTGATCCCATTGAGGTCGGTTAGTTACTCTTCTAATTTTACTTTTATTCTGGTTTTTTTTTAATATATTTTTTCGATCGTTTTGTTATTCTTAGAGGTATCTCCCTTGTATACAAGGAGTGGATAACGTCCTTAAGTTTAACTGTGTCAAATGCCTTATGCAGGTCCACGAAAACTAAACATACCAGTTTGTTGTATTTAGTGATTTCTCTTGCACATGTCACATTATCAATATAGCGTCGGTGCATGATCTTCTTGATCTACAATCTGATAAAGACTGTGGAGCTGTAGGACTGTAGGCTTGTTGTGTTCTGTACGCTTGATTTGTCATATCGCCAATAAGCACAAATTCGTACTCACTTAATCATTATGGATTGTGTTTCTACTTTTCTCAACTCTATTGTACTTATTCATTTACCTCTACCCACCTCACACATCCTATCTTAATGTGTTTTATGATATCTGGTTCCTGATATATTCTATAGAGTTCGAAGTTGTATCGTCTTCTCCAGACACTATTTTCATTTACCGCTCCATAGATTCGCCTCAGTATTTTTCTTTCGAAACATCCTAACATGTTTTCATTGCTTTTTGTTAAAGTCCAGGTTTCTGAACCATATGTTAGGACTGGGCGTATTGTTTTGTAGAGTTTTACTTTTGTATTTCTTGATATAACTGTAGATTTAAAAAGGAGATTAAGGCCAAAATAGCATCTATTAGCCGTGCAAATTCTGCGGTTTATCTCTGCGGTAGTGTCATTTTCAGCATTGACGAGCGTTTCCAGGTATACAAATTCGTTAACTGCTTCGATGACGTCGTTTTCTATAACAAGTGGCCGTCGTATTTCTGGTTGCGGACCTATTTTCATGTATTTCGTTTTATTAGTGTTTATTATTAAACCCATTTTTTGTAGCCGCTTTCTTTAGTGTTACATACGCCTCTCGTGCTGCGTTTTCGTTCTCCCAACAATTTGATATCATCAGCATATGCTAGGATTTGCACAGATTTGTTATATATTGAACCGGTAGTTGTGATTTGTGACGTACGTATTACTTTTTCCAGAGCTAGATTGAATAGTATACAGGAGAGTGGGTCTCCCTGACGTAGCCCGTTATTTGTATTAAAAGGTTCAGAGAGTTCCCCCTGGATTCGTACTCTGCATTCAACTTTTTCAAGGGTTAGTTTGGTTAGACTTACC